AGATACATCCCTATCAAACACTTGCAGGACAGATACAGCCTGTCCCTCCCCTTCCTCCGTCTCTCAGTTTCAGTGATTGGACAGATTGGGGTAGTTTTCCTTAGAGCAGGGGTACATTGAGAGGGCCTGTAACTGAGACGCGGAATATGATGAGAGTTGCAGACAGGAAGAAACGTTTCCCCACCTTCTCCCCACATCCCCCCTGCCCTGTGGAGGGATTAATGACCCTGGAGGCACAGAGTTAACGTGAAGTTTAGCGGAAGTGTGAAGAAAAACCTGATTTTTCTCCCAGACAGGGGTGGGGAACCTGAAACTTTTTGCTGCCTGTAGGGTGGTCGAGGCAGAAATCCCCAACAGGTTGAAGGATTCCACCCTCGGGCGAATGTCTGTGTGGAGTTCGCACATTCTCCCCGTGTCTGTGTGGGTTCACTCCGGGTGCTCCGGTTTCCTCCCACTGTCCGAGGACGTGCGGGTTAGGGTGGATTGGCCGTGCGAAATTGTCCCGTAGTGCCCAGGGATGTGCAGGTTAGGGTGCATTGGCCGTGCGAAATTGTCCCATAGTGCCCAGGGATGTGCGGGTTAGGGTGGATTGGCCATGCTAAATTACCCATAATGCCCAGAGATGTGCAGGTTAGGGTGAAATGGCCATGCTAAATTACCCATAATGCCCAGGGATGTGCGGAACTGGGTGAATTGGCTATGCTAAAATACCCATAATGCCCAGGGATGTGCAGGTTAGAGTGGATTGGCCGTGCTAAATTGTCCCGTAGTGCCCAGGGATGTGCGGGTTAGGGTGGATTGGCTATGCTGTGTTGCCCTGTAGAGTCCAGGGATGTGCAGGTTGCAGGTTAGCCATGGGAAATACAGGGTTACAGGGATAGGGTGGGTCTGGGCGAGATGCTTCTCGGAGGGTCAGTGTGGACTCGATGGGCCAAATGGCCTATACCCATGCTGTCGGGATCCTACGATCGCTTTGTTCCCTACGTGTTTTCTCACCTCCCTTCCCCCTACCCAGCCCACCCCCAGCACTATCTCGTCTGTTCCCTCGCTCTGTCATGCTGTCAGGCCTGTGGAAACAGTTGGCTGAGGGTGAGCAGTATGTGCCATTCCTCACTGTGGGGGTGGCACTGACTCGAGACATAACCTTGGCAGCTCCACAGCTGCCTTATCTCCGGCCTTTTTCCGCCCCGGGCAGCTGTTCACAGCCTTGGGATGGAGCTGATGGGGGCGTTGGGATGTCCCTGTAGATTTCACCTTCACACCAGCCTGCCCGATCCAGCACAGAGCTACTTTACACACCGAGTCCCTTGCACTAACTGGAGGGGGGAATCTAGGAGGAGAGGAGGAAGGATCTCAACTTGTCCAGCCACCCAGGTCCCTCTTGTGCCCCATGTCTCTTTCTCCCTGCTTTCAGCAGCTGCAATTCAACCACAAGGGGCATCACAGACCAGCTGACAATGTCTGTAATTAACACACACACCCATACCCAGATAGGCTTGTGCAAACACAGATTTAGACACAGTCAGTGCTGACCTGCTGATAGTAACCTCACCCTTGGCGTTGACCCTCTGCCAGGGCCCACTCCGTCAGCACTGACCCTCCAACAGTGCCCACTCTCTCAGCGCTGAGCCTCTGACAGTGAAGCACTCCCTCTGCGCTGAGCCTCTGACAGTGAGGCACTCCCTTGGCGCTGACCCTCCAACAGCGCCTGCTCCCTCGTCGCTGGCCCTCCGACAGCGCCTGCTCCCTGGTCGCTGACCCTCATAGTGTGGGTCTCTCTATGATCACTGACTCTTCCCACAGTATTCGAAAAGACTGAAGGAATACCTGGGCTGATGGCCACTGGAAATATCTGGTTACTGAAGAGACCTCTTGGATCTCCCATGGCTTCAGCCAATTAGTCAGTGGAAGTCACATGTCTGGGTTCATGGCATTGCTTCGAGTTTCTTGCCCAAAAGAAGCTCCCAAGTTCTTCCTCACCCTGTGGGGTGGGGGGAGGGGGCTATTTTCCCGAAAAGCCTTGGAATTCTCAATAGCTGCTGAATGAACTACACTCCCAAAGGCCCCAGGGACATCTACCCGTGTCAACTACATGTACCAGGACTTGGCCCAAGACCCATCCTGAACACCATGCTTTCTTCCTTCGGGGACTAAGAATTATTAGCCAAAGAGCCTTTTTTTTCAAAATGTAATCTCTGCAGTGAAATATGCGTGTTTGTGTCGTGCCGTAAGCTGCTATTTACAAGTGCAAGTGCTTCCATTCTCCGATTCGATTCATGAATCTCTTTACCTGTATTTACAGGTAAATTGTCAATTAAATCATGCTTTTTTTTGGAAAAGAATGCTATATCTCAGCGACGCAGTGGTTCAATGGTTCCACTCTTGGACCACTGACTGTGGAGTTTGGACATTCTCCCCTGTGTCTGTGTGGGTTTCCGCTCACAGTCCAAAGATGGGCGGGTTAGGGTGGATTGGCCATGCTAAATTTTCCCACAGTGCCCAGGGATGTGCGGGTTAGGGTGGATTGGCCGTGCTAAATTGTCCCGTAGTGCCCAGGGACGTGCGGGTTAGGGTGGATTGGCCGTGGGAAATATAGGGTTACAGGGATAGGGAGTGGGTCTGGGTGGGCTGCTCCTCGGAGGGTCAGTGTTGACACAGTGGGGCGAATGGCCTGCTCCCACACTGTTCGGATTCTATGAAGATCATTGGCACGTATTTGGCCAAATTAGTAATTGGGTAAAGCATTTACATTTATTTGGTGGCCTGAAATGTGGTGGGATGAGAGTGAAACTGGGGGCTCACCTGCGATAACTAAAAGTGGAAAGGTGAAAGTGGAAGTAGCCATTAGAGTCGTAGAGCTGTACAGCAGACCCTTCGGCCCAGCTCGTCCGTACTGACCAGATATCATGAATAAATCCTGTCCCATTTGCCAGCATTTGGCCCATATCCCTCTAAACCCGTCCTATTCATATATCCATCCAGATGCCTTTTAAATTGTACCAGCCTCCACCACTTCCTCTGGCAGCTCATTCCATACACGCACCACCCTCTGTGCGTAAAAATGTTGCCCCTCAGTTCTAAAGGGCCGTCCCTTCACTCTGAGGCTGTGCCTGCAGGTCCTAGTCTCTCCGAATCGTGGAAACACCTTCTACCCTGGGACTCTCAGTATTCAATAAGCATCAATCAGATCCCACCCTCCCATCTGTGTTAAACTCCATGGAGAACCCAGAGTCCTCAACCGCTCCTCATACAACAAGCCCTTCATCCCCGCACTCATTCTTGTGAACCGTTCCAAGGACCCTTCCCAAGGCCAGCACATCCTCCGTCAGATATTGCAGGGGGTCCCAAAACTGCTCACAAATATCCCAAAACCAGATCCCTATACAGCCGCAGCAGTACATCTGCTCTGCTATTCTAGCCCCCCTCGAAATGAACACCAACATTGCATTTGGCTTTCTAACAGCTAACTCAACCTGCACGCTAACTTCAAGAATCCTGAACGAGGACCCCCAAGTCCCTGTAGATCTTAAAACTCTTGCAACCTTCTGCTTTATTACTAGCTTCCCCACTTAACTCATCTTCTGCTCCCTTCTTGCTTTTTTATTTAAGTTGCCCTCTGCTGGCTTCCCAATCCTCTGACCTCCCACTAATCTTCACCACGTTATACAGCTTTTTTCTTTTGCTTTTCTGCTGCCCCTGGTCAGCTACGTCCTCCCCATAGCCTGTCTCCTCTTCCTTGGGATGAATTTCTGCTGTGCCTCCCAAATTACTCCCAGAAGCCCCTGCCGTTGCTGCTCCCTGCATGTCTTCCCTCCAACACTCCCCTTCTGAATCACCTCTGGCCAACTCCTCCCACACGTCGCCAATATACTCAGGTTACATGGATTTCAGCTTCTCCTCCCTGGGCACTACGGGACAATATAGCATGGCCAATCCACCCTAATGCACTACGGGACAATTTCCCACGGCCAATCCACTCTAACCTGCAGATCCCTGGGCACTACGGGACAATTTAGCATGGCCAATCCACCCTAACCTGCACATCACTGGGCACTATGGGACAATTTAGCACGGCCAATCCACCCTAACCTGCACATCTTTGGACTGTGGGAGGAAACCGGAGCACCTGGAGGCAACCCACGCAGACACTTGGGGGGGGGGGGGAGAATGTGCAAACTTCCACAGAGACAGTCGCCCAAGGATGAAAGCGAACCCGGGTCCCTGGCGCCATGAGGCAGCAGTGCTAACCACTGAGCCACTGTGCCGACACTGTAGCTGCCAATTTCCATCTGGCCCCAGCGCCTCTTAACGCCATCTGTCTGTACTCCTCCTCCCGAAACGAATCGCTTCTCTGTGTTTAACTGTGTCAGTCCCAAACTCAATATTTATTTTATACCCCCCCCACTTCCTACACAGTGCTCCTCACATGGCTCGTACCATCTGCAAACTTTAAAAGCCGTGCACCTACACTGTTGGCACAAATCAGGACAAAGAAAAAACGAGCAGGGACCCAACCCTGGGGGGTTAACCAGTGCCAAGTCAAACATCCGGTGACCGCTCTCGACTCTCTCCTGCCATTTGGAATGAATTTTGCGCCCACGTTGCCAACGCCCCTTTCGCTCCGTGAGCTGCAGGTGCAACAGGAAGGAGAGGGCTGTGGTGGCAACAACGAAGGCCAGACATCTCCGAAGAGCTGGACTCGTGATGCTAACTTCTTGGGTTCTCTCTCCGCAGGCGCTGCTGGCTCTCTCAAGCAGGAGAGCGTGCGCAGCTCGCGTCGGCGTCAGATCCAGTCAGTGTCCATTTTGGAGTCCAGCCCCATCCCTTTTGGCTCTCAGCCACGATCCCAGCATCCTCTGCTCCACCTCCTAGATGTTAGCCCTTCAACTCACTTCCCTCAAAAGAGCAGATTTTTCCGCCCGCGGCCCTCCCGCCCCCAAAGCAAGGAGGAGCAGGGTGGGGGTGGGGAAGGGAGCGACATAGAGAAATGGGAGAGAACGTTTACAAGAATTCGGGTTTTAATTTCAGAGAACACCCGTCTGAGGCGGGTGAACATAAGTTATCAGTCCATCTCCCAGCCCAACCAATAGCAGAGTTCTGGGCATTTCAGCAACAGTGCTTTCTCAAAAATTCCCACCTCCCCATCCCTTCACCGCTCCCCCCTCCCCCAACCCAACCCCCAATCATTTCCCCCGAGAGGCCTCAGCGTTCGCCCTGAGCACGGCTCCTGGGCTGGGGTACGGTCTCTGCTGGAATAGTGGGCCGACGGCCGTGGTGTCAGCTCCTGTCTTCGCCTCGTTTCTCTTGGGGAGGCCCGTCGACCAGGAGCCCCTGGGGAGCAGGAGGGTCAGAGGTCACTCAGAGGCTGTAACCGTTTGAGGGGAGGCACGTGGGAGGACAGACCGAGGAAGGAGGGAATGGAGAAAGAGGTAGAAGGATGGAGCCCATACGCTCGAGACAGAGAGAGGTAGAGTGACAGACAGAGCAGTGCGCGTGCATGCAAGGGACACAGAGACAAAGCGCGCATGCGCGCGAGAGGGAGGCAGATGGCGCATGAGGGGGGCAGAGCGTGCACGAGCCAGAGAGGGGCGGGTGCACGCGAGAGAGAGGGGCAGAGCGGGTAGGCGCGTGCGCGCGAGAGAGAGAGAGAGAGAGAGAGAGGCGGCGCGGGCGGGCGCGCGCGAGAGAGAGAGAGAGGCGGGGCGGGCGCGCGCGAGAGAGAGAGGCGGCGCGGGCGCGCGCGAGAGAGACGGGCAGAGCGCACGCGGGAGAGACGGGCAGAGCGTAAGAGAGAGAAAGAGAAAGCGCGACAGAGAGAGAGAGAGGGAGGGGGAAGAGAGAGAGAGAGACAGAGATCCACTCACCGAGGAGCATCGGAGTACGCACTCGGATCCATTGGGTCTAAACTGTCATCCTTCCGCTCTCGGCCTATCAGAGCAAAGTCAGTTAAAGGTCTGCCTTCAGCGACCCCGTCCCCTCCCCCCACCATGTCCATAGCCCACTAACTCAGCCCTCAACTGCCCCGTGCCCACCTACTGCCCCTCTCGTCTGTGCCCAATCCCTTAACTCCAGTGAATGCCCCCTCTTCAATCAACACCCCTTCCTGCCCCAATTACCCTCCTGTGTCCCTCAAATCCTTCTGCCTCCTCCCCACCTGCCCCCACAAAACGCTGCCCCCTGCTCCCCCCCCCCCGCTCCACCCCCAACATAGATTTAAAGATGTACGGCACAGAAACAGACCCTTCGGCCCAACTTGTCCGTGCCGACTCAGATATCCTAAATTAATCCAGTCCCATTTGCCAGCATTTGGCCCATATCCCTCTAAACCCTTCCTATCCATGTCCCCATCCAGATGCCTTTTAAATGTTGTCATTGTACCAGCCCCCACCACTTCCTCTGGCAGCTCGTTCCATACACGCACCACCCTTTGCGTGATAAAGTTGCCCCTCGGCTCCCTTTCCCCCTCTCACCTTAAACCTATGCCCCTCTAGGTTTGGACTCAGCCACCCCTGGGGGGAAAAAGACATTGGCTGTTCACTCTATCCATGCCTCTCATGATGTTATAAACCTCTATAAGGCTCCCCTGCACCCCGCTCAGCCTCCGACGCTCCAGGGGGAAAACAGCCCCGGCATCTCCCTGTAGCTCAAAACCCTCCGACACTGGGGCAACATCCTGGTAAATCTTTCCTGTTCCTGACTCCCAACTGGCCCCAAGAGCTTCCAACCTCTGCCCCCCTCCCGCCCCACTGAGCACCAAAGATCCCCCAGCCGTTTGCGCCCCCCTGGCACCCTGAGCTGGTGGGGGTCGGGGGTGGGGGGGGGGGGGAGAAGAAGTTACCTTTCCTCCCCTTGGGATATCGGTGGGCATCGTCGTGACGTGCCAGCCACTTCTCCTTCAGTTCCTCACGCTCAAACCTCTCCACGCTGTCGCCAGCCTCTGCAGGGAGAACGCAGCCACGTCAAGGGGCTTTGGGAGGGGGGGAACTGTACTGCCGGTTTAAAAAAAAAACAAAGTGGGGGGAAACGCGTGCTCGCAATCTTTACCTTTAAACTTTTTCGCTGGTTTGGTGATGATGGCGGCCGCGTCTGTCGGCGGTAGCCATGAGACTAGGTCAGACTCGATGTTCCAGTAGTATGGGAGGCCGCTGGAGATAGAGAGAGAGAGAGAGAGAGAGGGAGTTGCGCAAAAACCCTGGCAGCAAACAGATGCGAGGCCATTCAGCCCCCTCAGCGAGCCCGTGCGAGGCCGCTCAGCCCATCGCTCTGCAGTTCACGGCAACGCAAAGCCCTCCGCGTTTAAAAGGAAGAAACAAGACGAGGGCTTCTCCCGCCGCCTCGGGCAGCAGACGCTCCCCTGATTCCCCTCCGAGTGAAGTTGGGGGGGGGGGGGGGGGGGGGGGGGGGGGGGGGGGGGGGGGGGGGG